GCATTTGCTAAAACTGGTGAATTTGCATCAACACATCATGATCACCTGAAGGCCATAGTTTACATTAGCGTTCACTCTTGGTGTTGCACATTCTATGGGTTTGCATAAATGTTTAGTGACATACAGTCACCATCAGAGTATCATACAGAGATATGCCTTAAGAATCCTCTGTGCTCTGCCTATTCATCCCTCCCTCCACCAACCCCTGGCAACCACTGATCTTTTTAATGTCTCCATAGTTTTGTCTTTTCCAGAATGTCATCTAGTTGGAATCATACAGTATGTAGCCTTTTCGTATTGGCTTCTTTCACTTAGTGATATGCATTTATCTCCTCCATGTTTTTTCATGGCTCGATCGCTCATTTCTTTTTAGTGTTGAATAATATTCCATTCACACTGTGGGTGTCCCACAGTTTATCCATTCATCTACTGGAGGACATTTTGGTTACTTTTAGATTTTGGCAATTATGAATAAGGCGGCTATAAAACATTCATGTACTGGCTTTTGCGTGGACATAAGTTTTCAACTCCTTTGGGTAAATACAAAGGAGCATGATTACTGGATTATATAAGAGTATGTTTAGTTTTGTAAAAAACTGCCAAACTGTCTTCCAGAGTGGCTGTACCATTTTGCATCCCACCAGCAACAAATGAGAGTTCCTGTTGCTCCACATCCTCGCCAGCATTTGGTGTTGTCAGTCTTCTGGATTTTGGCCATTCTAATGGGTGTGTAGTGGTATCTCCTTGTTGTTTTAATTTGCATTTCCCTGAAGACATATGATGTGGAGCATCTTTTCATATGCTTCTTTGGCGTCTGTATATCTTCTTTAGTGAGGCATCTGTTAAGATCTTTGACTCACTTTTTGTTGATTTGAGGACATAGGACAAGAGCTGGAGGAGTATTTTCTTAGGGAACAGTGTTAGACACAAGAGCAGACCAGGGTTTAGGGTTAATTGATCACACTGTGCCAAATAGGTACTAGCTCATTAGTGACAGAGGCCCCCATGTATTCTTTAATAAATTTGTGTTTTGAGTGTTTGGATATGTAGGCTCTCTAAAGAGCAAGGCCCAGGACAGGGACCTCTTATGCCTGGGTGTGGGGCAGGATTACCTGCAGCCTTCTCTCGGCCCCATCCATCTAGTATAGGCATGAGCACAGCCTCTATGTCATGCAGCCCTAAATTCAGGTCCTAGGTCTGTCCCTTACTAGCCTTATAACTCTGAGCAAACCATTGAATCTCTTGAGCCTTGGCTTCGTCATCTGTAAAGTGAGGTCATAACAGGATTCTTCTCCAGGGTTGTTAGTGGAGGCCTCCCCCGAACACTTGCTGGGCTTGGGGCAAAAGCAAAGGTGGAGGATTGGCCTGTAGTTCATCTCTTCTCTTCCCACCCCTGCCTCCGTTCCACACTGTAAACATCAAAGTGCAAGCGCTCAGTCCCTATCCACACATCTCCCATCCTTGAATACAGCTGCCCCTTGGCCATCCCTCAGCCCTAGGAGTACACAGACTGATGGCATGGTCTACCCTCAGGCAGGACCAACCTGGAGAGGAGGCCCACACAGTCTCTGGAATTGGTCCCAGGTACCCAAAGCCTTGTCTAGTTGGTGGGATGGGGACAGTGGGGGAGGGACAGGTATGAGAGTTCCAGGTGGATGTGTCTCCTTGGACCCTCAGACTCCTCACCTGTGGGGAGGGGGACCAGAGACAGACCCACTAAGGCAGGGGGTCCAGGGCCCTGACTGTCCAGCTCTAAAGTGGTCCTGATGGTGCAGGGTCCATGAGATGATGTTCATAAACTGCTTAGCCCAGTGCTTGGCACTTGTTAAGTGTTCAGCACTCAGTGCTCAATAAATATTAGTTGTTGGTATTATTATTATTGTTGTTATTATTATTATTATTATTATTATTATTATTATTATTAAAGTGAGACACTGAGGGCTGATTCTCCCTTCAAGATGTGGTAGAAATAAAAGAGATTATTCAGGTGAAGCATTTGGGTGAGATGAGATGGCAGCCCTGTGTGCACTGAGGCTGAGGTTGCACAGAGAGTGGCCAGCCTGCTTGTTGGAGACACAGGGGACCTCTCTGCCCCCTGGAAGGTGTCATTACCAGCATCGTGTCCTTCCCAAGGGGCCTCAGAGCTCTGCAGTCACAGAGAAGGACTTGGCAGGGGCCTTCTCAGAGATTCATAAACAGAAGCCTAAGAAAGGCTGTAGCCCTGTGAATCCCTGTTTACAGAGCACCTACTATGTGCATAGAACCTATGCTATGGTTTTTCCCTATGAGGGAGGGACACTTTGCAGATGTGGAAACTGAGCCCCAAGAGGTAAGTGATTTGGTCAAAGTCATGCCGCCAGGGAGGGTAGAGCATCTGACTCCCAAGGCTGAGCCCTTTCCATTGCACTGCATCTAAAGCACAATTCATTTAGATGCTGCATCTAGAGCACAATTCATGGATGGAGGGGGAAACCTTCCCAGGGAGGCCGCAGATGATTTCCAACAGAGAGGATGACAGTGTGAATTATGGACGTGCCCAGTGCCAGGAAGCACACAGTAAGTCCTGCTCCTTGTTTGGCCCACTGAGCCCAGCCCCACAGGGCACCCTTGGGGAAGGCTCCATTCTCACCCACTCCTGCTTCTGGGTCACCTTGACCTAGGCCGGAGGTGGAGAAGGCTGCTCCTGGTCTCTTCTGGGTCCTGGTGTCAGGCCCTTGGCAGCATGAATGAACAACCTCCCAGAGCTTGAGTTTACCTCCCGCTCTGTTGAGGGTGGTGGTGTGGGTGAGTGTGGGCTGCGTCTCCACCTCCTCACCAGGGCCAGCCTCAGGGACTTCAGCCTTGACCGCCTTCCATCCTGGAAGTTGTTTCTGCACTCTCAGGGCATGGCTTTGGAGTCTGTCGGACCTGGGTTCAGATCTCAGTTCTACAAAACTAGGTGAGTGGCCTTGGGCAAGTCATTTAACCTCTGCGTGCCTTGGTTTCCTCATCTGTAAAATGGGGCTGATAACGGTACTGACCTTGTGAGGTCGTGTTGTGGCAATCAAATGAAGTAATGCATAGGCAGTGCTGGACCCAGTGCCTGGCAGGTCTTAAGTGCTCAGTATTTTAATCTATTATTCGACTACTTTATTCTTTTAAGTAACAGATCACATGGACCTTAGGTTCTTAATCAGGGTCTTCTGGGGGTTCTGGAGATGGCTTTGGGACAGCCTGTGAATTCCCTAAGATCATATGTAAGATTGACTGAGGCTGTTCATAGGGGTATTTTTAGGGAGAGGAAGGTTTATTGCTGTCAGTGAATTTTTAGGGGTGTTTATAACCCCTGCTCTCAGGGGTCCCAGGCACAGTGCTTGGCTTGGCGGGTCAGAAAAAGACCAAAAGACGTAGTCATAGCCTCAGCTGCCTTGGGCAGCGCCACCATGGCAGAGATGTGTGTGGAGTTTTCTCTTTGTCTCCCATATTTTCTTTAACCCTTTTGTTTCATCTATTTTTTCTTTTGTCACCTTATTTTTTGGTTGTTTAAGCTCTTAATTTTTTCCATCTACCTATTCTTTTCTCTTAAATGGAAAAAAGGACCTGGCAGAGAGTTTACTATATGGGAGAAAACACTTGCCAAGTTTTCAAGGTAAATAGTGTGTGTTTCGGGGTGGGGCAGATGCTGTGTATCATCGGTGCGTGTGCAGCCACAGAATATCCCTGGGAGGTCACACCAGTAAGTGGTGACAGTTGACTTGGGGAGGGGGGGACTGGGGCGCAAAAGTGGGAAGGAGTCTTACTCCCTTTGTATCTTTTATGTTTTGTACATTGTGTATGGAGACCTATTTAAAAACAGGTTTGTTTTTTTGTGGGGGGGGCTTCCCTGGTGGCGCAGTGGTTAAGAATCTGCCTGCCAACGCAGGGGACACGGGTTCGAGCCCTCGTCCGGGAAGATCCCACATGCTGCGGAGCAACTAAGCCCGTGCGCCACAACTACTGAGCCTGCACTCTAGAGCCCGTGCACCACAACTACTGAGCCTGCACTGTAGAGCCCACGAGCCACAACTACTGAGCCCGTGTGCCACAACTACTGAAGCCCACGCGCCTAGAGCCTGTGCTCCGCAACAAGAGAAGCCACCGCAGTGAGAAGCCCGCACACCACAATGAAGAGTAGTCCCTGCTCGCCTCAACTTGAGAAAGCCTGCGCGCAGCAACGAAGACCCAACACAGCCAAAAATAAATAAATTAAAAAAAAAAAAGAATCTGCCAGCCAACGCAGGGAACACAGGTTCAAGCCCTGGTCTGGGAAGATCCCATGTGCCGCAGAGCAACTAAGCCCGTGCGCCACAACTACTGAGCCTGCCCTGTAGACTGAAGCCCGTGCGCCTAGAGCCCATGCTGAGAAGCCACCGCAATGAGAAGGCTGTGCACTGCAACGAAGAGTAGCCCCCGCTCGCCGCAACTAGAGAAAGCCCGTGCGCAGCAACGAAGACCCAATGCAGCCAAAAAATAAATAAAAAATAAATAAATAAAACCTTACTTAAAAAAAAAAAAAAGATTAGGTTACCCCAAAAGTGGACCCTGTACAAGTAGTTACTTTGTGTGGGGATCCCAGGAAGCCCTGGAAAGAGGATGGAGAAGTGAGGCAGAGAAGGAAGGAAGCCAATACGGAGTATGTTTATGTCTGTGGGCTATCGGAGTTCATTGCTGCTGAGGACTTCTGGAGGACGGTGTAGAACATGACTCAAATTTGTCCCATTGTAAGGGTAAAGATGCTGATGTTATGAATTCACTAACTCCTGTTTGTCATCTGTTAAGGGCTGTTCCCAGGGGCAGCCTGCCCTGTGCATGCGTCAAGCAAGCTCGTGCTGCACGAGAAAACCCTCAGGCAGAGCGGTAGGATCTCGGGGTTAGCAGCCATCTGCAGAATGGGTACAGGCTGGCGCCTACTGTATCTTCATGGGACCAGCCCTTCTTGGTCCTGCTGGGCTAGGGTAAAACATTGCTCTGAGCCACCAGACAACCACGAGTGAAAACTTTATTGCTCCAAGCACTTTATATGAATGTCACCACCACCTGACCTGGGCAGATATATAAAAAGCACAACCTATTGTACAGTCATTCCAACTCCTCGACTAATGCACTGTACAGATGCTTCCCAGGCCTTGTCCCCAGCACGATTGGGTGCATTTCAGTGGCAGCAGCTGCACTTGTCTGAGGCCCCTTTGCAGATGCAGCCCTGGGCACACTTGATGCAGCCCGGGGGGCAGCAAGGACAGCAGCCTGGAAGGGGCAGGAGATGGACAGATCAGCTTTGGGTCAACACTCTTATCTGACCACTTCCCCCTTCACCACTTAGAAGGAAATAGAAAAACAAGAGCATGCTACACACAGGTTACGATCCACATGAGCAAAAAACCTGGGACAGGAAGTGGTGGGATGTTAGAGCTGGAAGGGACCTCAGGGGTCGCCCAGAGTCCATCAGAGGCCAGGGAGGGGAAGGGGTTGGCCCACCTCCATTGGACAGTGGCAGATCCAAGGGCTCATGATGCCAGGCCATTCCCTTCACTACTGGGCAGGCTGAAACCTCCCCTCAGCCCTCTTCTTATCCAAACCTCTGAAACACTGAGGATGCCCTCACCCCCAGGTCAGCTGCAGCCCGGGGGACTCAGCTTTCATTTCAGATCCCTCCCAAATGGGTAAAGGCATCCAGGACCCCCTCAATCCCACCGTGGCTGGAGGGTTGAGGATGGCAGAAACGGACTCCCAGCTCCCCGCCAGCAGTGCGTGGCCCCGATCACCAGACTCACTTTTTCGACATGTTTTACAGCTGCAGGTTTTGCATTTGCAGTTGTCTCCACAGGTGCAGATTCCTCCTAGGAGAAAGGACAGAGCCACAAACATGAGCATCAGTGGGGAGCGGGCACACAGGCGTGCTGCAGGCCATCTAGGTGGCTGGGGGTCTGGGCTGCCCTTGGTCAGTGGATGGACAAAGGGTGGAGCAGGCACACAGGCGTGCTGCAGGCCATCTAGATGGCCAGGGGTCTGGGCTGCCCTTGGTCAGTGGATGGACAAGAGGTTGAAGATGCTGCTGAGAATCACCCCAGTGGTGAAGACCATCCAGTGGTTCCCAGTCACAGTCCATGGACAGAAACTGGGGGGACTACATCAGAATCCCTGGGGGTACTTATTAAAATGCAGATTCCTAGGGCCAACCTTTGAGATATTATGATTCATAGGTCTGGGTGGAGAAAGGGAATCAGTATTTTTTAAAAAGCAACCCAGGGACTTCCCTGGTGGTCCAGTGGTTAAGACTCCTCGCTTCCACTGCAGGGAGCATGGATTTGATCCCTGGTCAAGGAACTAAGATCCTATGTGCTGCGCAGTGTGGCCAAAAAATAGAAGAAAAAAAATCCCCAGCAACCCAGATGATTCTGATGTACAATTAGGTTTGAGAAACCACTAAGTTAGGCCAAGCCCAGGGTCCCCTGGGGACTGTCGAAAACTTTAAGGTATCAGGCAAGATGGAAATCCTGAATGTGTAGGAGGAAGGGCAAAGGATATAAACAAGCCCAAAGTGAGAGTCACAGCTACCACTTGTTTCCATATCATAAAACCATCTATATTAAAAAAAAAAAAATCATCCCGCTTCTTGTTTTGAGTTTCAAGATGCTGGAAGCTTCTGTCTTTTCGGCAAATTTTGGGGACAGACATGTCCTGTTAGGAACCAGGGAGGCTTGTGAGACTTCTTGATGCCGTTTCCAAAGGTCGTAAAAACCAAGATGGCTCTGAACCCTGACCTCACTTCTCCTGGCCAACATGCTTCCATGGAATTAAGCAGTTTCAGACTTGGAGGTCCGCATATGCTTCCAATAACTCCCCTGACACCTGCAAATGCATTATGATTTTAACCCTTTCACAGCAACCCTAGGAGGTGGGCAGCTGGGGATAAGTAACCCTATTTTTCAGATGAAGAAACTGAGGCTTGGAAATAATAAGTGTCAGGAGTGGATGGGAGCAATGGACCAGAAGCAGGTTGGTCTGGGCCAGAGCTCTTCCCCCGCCCTGGTGGCTGCTCCCAGAGGCTTGCTGCTAGGTCCCACCACAGTCATTCCTAAACCAGGTTATTAATTCTAGCAAATGAATCTGGTATCCAGCAGAGAGCGGGAGCTGCCACAGAGGTGGCCAGTCTGACACAAACCCCATTGGTGCTTCCAATTGGAAGAAGAGAAGCATTAATCACAGTCCTGCAGGCTCCCTGTGGGAAGCTGGCGAGAGGTCGCAGAATCCCAGGGTGGGCGTCCTTACTCACCAGACATGCAGGTGCATTCCCCAGGGTCCATGGTCCAGGTGTCTGAGCGGCTCTGGTGCTGTCACAGCTGGGGAAGTGAGGCTGAGTGAGCAGTCACCAGAGGCTTCTTTTTTATGGCTGTGTGGGTGTAGACTTGGGCTCACCCCACCTCTCCCTGGAGCCAGACGCCCTGCACACGGCCCAGCCATGGGCTGGGTGTTGGCAGAGGAGAGGGCAAGCAGTACAGTCATTTAGGTGGCTTTTCACAAAGGGTGCAGGTGGCTGTACCTGCCACCTGCTGAGGTGTCAGGGAGCCAGGCTCAGGCTCAAATTGCAGTCACATCGCGCAGATTGGGAGCTACCTGTGTCCCTTCTCCAAGTCCTACACATACTATTATCTGCCATTTCTGTTCCCTCCTTCACGGGGGCTGCTCCTGTCCTGGCCCGGGGTCTCATCTGTCTCCCCTGGTTGACTATGAAAGCCCTTACCACGTGCAGGCGGGGGCCCCTATTCTGGGCCCTGGCTTTAGAAGGCCCCGCTGAGGCACCCTCCTGGCCATGCCCCCAAAAGTCAGGGGCAGGTGCCCACTCAGAGCCTGTAACCTCTCTTTCTAGACCACACGTGGAGCACCCTGGGTGCTGGAATCTTCGGTCTCCCCAAGCCTGCTTGCTTCTAAGGATTTGCTCAGTCCTCTTCCGCACGCTCCCAAGGACAGATGTGCAGCCAGCATGTGTCTCTCTAGGCCTGAGAGGTGGCCGCGGGTGGCTGTTTGCTGGGGGTACAGACAGAGTTTGGATGTGTGGGCTGGTGCCCACAGGGGTGTGTGAAGGAAGGAGCTAGCGGTGGGGAGAGAAGGGAGGGGGGCCACAGATTGGGGGTTGGGGCCATATCGCCAGGCACCTCTGCATTCTAGGTTGCAGTGTTAAGGTAGGAGGGTAGAAAGTATTTTATTTGTTTATCTGATTTATAACTTTAAAATATTTTAGCTGGGGGGCTTGCCTGGTGGCGCAGTGGTTGAGAGTCCACCTGCCGATGCAGGGGACGTGGGTTCGTGCCCCGGTCCGGGAAGATCCCACATGCCGCGGAGTGGCTGGGCCCGTGAGCCATGGCCACTGAGCCTGCATGTCCGGAGCCTGTGCTCCGCAACGGGAGAGGCCACAATGGTGAGAGGCCCGCGTACCGCAAAAAAAAAAAAAAAATATATATATATATATATTTTAGCCGGGTAGTATGTGGACCTCCCACTTGTATTCTTGCTCTGCCCCCCTAAACATTAGGAGGGGCCTGGAACTAGCCTCCTGTGTTCTTGCCCCCTCCTCCTCACTCTGAAAGGCCAAAAAGTGGTCCTGCCCACCACCAGTGGAGATAGTTGCTCGCATGTGTAAGTTAGTGGGTTCTCCTTTACTCACCCGCAACGACCACCAGGGCCTCAGTCTGACCCATGGAGCCATGGGTTTGAGCTGAGAACTTCTAGTGAGGAGAAAGGGATTCAGCCCCATGGTCATCAGGGCACTGGGGAAGGGTAGGGAGGGGCAACATTGTAGTGGTCCCCAAATGGTCCCTGCCCCAAAGGAGTTCACAGCATAGTCGGGGATCCAGGCCCATTCATTCATTCAGCACCTTTCAAGGGCCAGCACTGTGCTGGGCACTGGAGAGCCAGGGGTGAGTAAAAACAGAGTTAATCAGCCAAAAATCAATCAATAAAATAAATAAATTTATTTTTAAAAAAGGGCTTCTCTGGTGGCACAATGGTTGAGACTCCGCCTGCCAATGCAGGGAACACGGTTTCAAGCCCTGGTCCGGGAAGATCCCACATGCCGCAGAGCAATGAAGCTCGTGCGCCACAACTACTGAGCCTGCGCTCTAGAGCCTGTGCACCACAACTACTGAGCCCTCATGCCACAACTACTGAAGCCCTTGCATCTAGGGTCCGTGCTCCCCAACAAGAAAAGCCACTGCAATGAGAAGCCTGCGCACCACAACAAAGAGTAGCCCCCGCTCGCCACAGCTACAGAAAGCCCGCATGCAGCAACAAAGACCCAGTGCAGCCAAAAATAAATAAATAAATTTATTAAAAAACCCAAAAAAACATAAAACAGCTAATGGTGCAGAAGGGCTGGAGGATATCTCAGCCCAGGAAACCCATGACCCGGCAGGGCTGCTCTCAAAGCCCAAAGGCTGGATCTGCCTTCCCACGCTTGCATTTACAGCCCAGTCCCAGCCCATCTCTTGGAAGGTCCAGCTTCTCCCCCCTTGCCCTCCACTCCTGAGTGTGCCCTGTAGCAGATATGAATGCCTTGGAAGGTCTGGCCCAACTAAGTGAGCCCAGAGAAAGGAAAGGATTTCCCTTCCCCCTTATCTAAGCCATCTCTCCTCCCTGCTCACTCTCTGAGCCAGGAGCTGCTGCTTCCATGGATGACTGACACTGCAGTGTTGCTTAAGGCCTCAACTGAATGATAGTATCAAAATCCAATCCCCAAGCTATTTCCCAGTTTCTGGGCTGTGTGGATTGAAACAACCTTGTGTAGCATCAGGTGGTAGAGTCCATGTTGACTGCACCCGGGCTGTCCAGTTCCTGTTACATGGTGTCCCCTTAGGGCCTGGGGAAGTGCATCCACAGACCTTGTCTGCCCTTTTGGCCATCTTCTGGGTCTCAGCTCCTGATCTCTGTATGGCAGCAGGAAAACAAGAACACACACGCCGCCCCAGGAACATGGAATGGCTGGGGGACACAGCTTAGATCCGCACTTAGAAAATAAATATCAGTGCCACTGGCCCTCCATTCCTGCGGCGGTGGGACCCGCAGCTGCAGAGGGTGGACTCGCCGTCTTCTGTACGGAACTTCACTCTCCGTGGATTTTGGTATCCGCTGGGGTCCTGGAATCCATACGCTGTGGCTACTGAGGTATGACTGTATTTCTTCAGAGGCGTGATCCTTAGCCTTCTCAGGGGATTCAAGGGGCCCTTGAAAATCTGATGAAAGCTCTACCTAGGGAAAAAAATGCACAAATACATGACATTTTCCTGCCGCAAGTTCAAGGGATTTGTGGATCTCTGAAATCCCATTGCTGGGCCTCCTTCCACTCCCCCCAGGGGCCCTGAGGTAAGAGCTCCTCTGCAAAGAAGCAGTCCTGCTTCAGCCGCTTTTCTGTGGCCACACAGCAGTTGTAGCTCCTCTGAGCCAGTGAGCCCTAAATACCTCCTTCTCCGCTTACGGCCTCTCCATACGAAAAGTCAAGTGGTTTTTCTCAGAACAATGAAATGGGCTGTTCCAGAGGAGCAGCTAACGCTCCACCTCTTAACCTAAATGACTGCGTTGTCATCTTCTCCCCCTCCCAACAAAGGTCAAAGCTAGACACCCGCTGTTCCTGCATCCAGCAGTTTCTGCCAGAAGTTCTGGGACTCATGGCCTGGGAATGGAGGTTCAGCCACGATGACGGCAGAGAAAGGTCCTGTGCTGTCACTCCACACCCTGGTCCACGTTTTGTGCTTGAGTCACCACCCTTTCCCATACAGAGCCCCTCTGGACATACGTGTCTCCCCAGGAGCAGCCTGGAGCCATTGGTTTTTATAACGCTGGTTTATAAATCGGCCTCTCTCTACACCACAGTCTTCTCACAAACAGAGGCTGTGCTTATTCATCTCAGCAGCCGTGTGGCCAGGCACACGGAGTGCTGCCACATAGTGGGTGCTCAATAAATATTGATGAGCTGATGATGAATAAATGACTCAACAGAGTTACATGTAGGCTGTATTCTCCAGCTCTTGATGAAGAGATTTAGAGGATCTTGTGGCTCACCAAGAGCAGTCTAGAGCTGGAGATCTGGAATCATGCTGCCTGGTTCCTGATCCCGGTTCTGCTGCCTGATTGGGGGCAAGTTGCTTAACCCTTCTGAGCCCCAGTTTCCTCATCTGCAAAGTGTGGCTCATGAAAATGATAACCTCATGGCACTGTCATTGTGAGGGTTAAATGAGAGAATGCATATTCAGCACTTAGTTCAGAATCTGACACATAAATATTATCATTATTTTGCTATTAATATTATCTGTGCTTAATACAGCTGACAGATTGGTTCAGTCACTCACCCATTTGTATGTTTCAGGCTCATAGACTATTCTACAACTGGTCCCAGGGTCCTGAGTGGGATGCATTCATCAGCAGTAAATATTGTGAAGAGTTTTAGTCTCTGGGTTCCCAGCTTTTAAGCTCAGCCTAGTTCCTTTTGGGTCCCAGGGCCTGGGGACCATGGGGCACTGCCCTTCCTTTCTGACTTCCTTTGCTGCAGTTTGCATCTGTTTGGAGTCAGAGTTGACCTTCCACCTACAAGGCCCACTTATAGGGTATTTTTGGCTTCCTCTGTAGGACTAGGCATAAGATATGGGTGGACAAAATCAAAGCAGGCAGGGGCCCCAGGGGACACCAGCTTGAATCAAGATGGTCAGTGCTGGAAGAACCCTGAGAAGTCATGGGCCAGCTTCTTGTCCAAATGGGGAAACAAACAGAGGCCCAGAGAGACAGGGTTAAGCCCTGGTCACCCAGCTTAGGTTCGTGGTGGGGCGATTTGAACCTGGCTCCTTGACTCACTGCCAGTACCCACTCTTGAGTTCTAAGGCAGGACTGTTCAGCCATTTGGAACCTTGTGGCTTTCTCTACTGTTTATTAATTAATTTTATTACAAAAGTTCAAACATACTAAAAAGAACAGTATTACAAACACCATGTTATCTACCACCTGGAATTAACAGATGTCAACTTGGTCATGTTTGCTTCAGCTCTTTTATTTATAAGACTTAAAAAATTATCAGGATCATGGCTTTAAATACCACCTATGTGCTGGAGACTCCCCATTTACACCCCCAACCTGGGCCTCTCTTTTGAACTCCAGGCTCATATTTATGACTGCTACTCAACATCTCCGCGTAGACGTCAGACAGCATCTCAGACTCCCCAGATGAGCTTCTGCTCCGGGCATCACCTCCAAGCACACCAGCGTCTCGTCTGCCTCCATCTCTGTCACCTGGTTTGAGCCACCGTCACCTCCCGTGAAGATTCAGGACTCATTTCCTAACTGGCTTTCTTGCATCTGCCCTTGCCCTGGGCCCTTTATACCGCATTTTCTTTATTA